CGCGCGGACCCGAGGTAGACGTCGCCGCCCCTGGGGGGGTGCGATCTGCGAAACTGTCGCCGCCTTCGAGGGCTGCTGGCGGGCCCAGCGGAGCGAAGCACCGCGCGGACCTGAGGTACACCTCGCCGTCCCTGGGGGACTGCGATCTGCAATCTGTCGCCACTTTCGAAGGCTGGCGGCGGGACCAGCGGAGCGGGGCGGCGGGGCCAGCGGAGCGGGGCACCGCGCAGGCCCGAGGTGGACCTCGCCGTCCCTGGGGGAGGCAGCGATCTGCGAAACTGTCGCCACTTTCGAAGGCTGATGGTGGGTCCAGCGGAATGAGGCACCGCGCTGGCCTGGGGTGGACCTCGCCGCCCCCGGGGGGCTGCGATCTGCGAAACTGCCGCCACTTCCGAAGGCTAATGGCGGGCCCAACGGAGCGAGGCACCGCGCGGACTCGAGGTGGACCTCGCCGTCCCTGGGGGGCTGCGATCTGCGATACTGCCGCCACTCTCGAGGGCCGCTGGTGGGTCCAGCGGAGCGAGGCACCGCGCGGACCTGGGGTAGACCTCGCCGTCCCTGGGGGGCTGCGACCTGCGAAACTGTCGCCGCTTTCGAGGGCTGGGCCCCCCACTTTCGAGGGCTGCTGGCGGGTCCAGCGGAGTGAGGCACTGCGCGGACCCGAGTGGGACCTCGCCGTCCCTGGGCGGCCATGTCACGTCGTTGCTGCCCCGCCGACATTTCAAGCCCCTTGCCCACCGCCTCCTTTTGGACCTTGCGTCTTCCTTAGTGACTCAGGGGTTCATTCAATTACGTATCGTTTTCCAATGATTGGGGACATGCGAACCTTCCGACTGCCGCTCGCAGAAGTATATGCGTCCATGCCACGTCGCCGCCTCCTGGTCAAATATCCCAAGCCACTCCTGCCCCGCATTGCGCAGGGGTTGGGTACCATCAGGGTGATTAGAGAAGGAAAGTTAACGAATGCCCACTGCTGAGTTCTCAACTCCATTGCTCGCGCTATCATCCCGCCCGCCCGCCCGTAACTTGGTTTGCAAAACACACGCGGCGGCGATTGCGATGACTGCTTGGCGCTGGCTGGCACATCGCTGCAGCCGCGCTGGCGCACGCAGGCTCGCGCGCAGAGCGGCCAGCTAGTCTGGCCGCTACCAACGCGGCCCCGGTGGCGCTGACCGCTGGAAACTTCCTAGCGCGTCTCGCAGGCCGCTCTGACGCGCGGGCACTCCACTGCGAGTCGGTGACTCAGACGAGCGCGGCATCATGGCGACGTCGACAACGGTAGACACGATGATAACAGTAGCGATGCTGGTGGCGATGAGGACAACGACGAAGGCAAGCCCAATGAGGAGTCGATTTTGATCACGCCGAAAAAGATGATGGCTTCCTCGTGTCAGCGATGAAAGTCTTGGACAGTTTCCGACATGCGCACGCGGCCGACGCACGCGAGTGGCCCGCATGGTATAATTGGTAAGGGGAACGTCCCCCACTAGCACGCGCGCAATGGCGTTCCGATGATTTCGGCACGCGCGCGCGAGAGGCCCGCTTGGTCGCACCCGATGGACATATTGAAAGCCTTTGGTTTTCTTAAGCATTCGCCAAAGCGAGCGCGAAAACACGTTGCAACACCAATGGTGTTCACATGCTTTCGGGGTACTCGATTTTGAAGTCCGTACGACACCAAGAATGTGTAAAGGATTCTGGCATGCGCACACGACGACGCGCGCGTGTGCACTTCGTCCCATTTGTTACAACGAAATGCACGTGGGTGATATGTGATAAACGAATGCGCGCGCATAGAATTCTTTGACAAAAATGGTGTGGGATGTCGATAATGGCCGGGCTGGGCTGGTGTGATTTCATATATAATACGAATCATTCGGCACAACCGCACGTAAATCACACATCCCTAAGGGGACTGATAATCTGAGGAGCGAAAGCGTGGTAAATCCTATGCTTGCTGGAAAGGAGAATATTGGTTGGGCAGCATATGGTGCGCAATCGATGCTGTGCAAATGATGTGGCGTCGACAAGGCGGCGACGGGCGGCGACGGGGCGGCGATGGCGACAACATAGCCGCCAGACCGCCACACAGGCCAAGACGAAGGGCGGCGACGAGGCGGCGACGGGACGGCGACGGGGCGGCGACGGCGACAACACAGCCGCTAGACCGACACACAGGCACACTTCCTCAGAACAGAAATAACAGCCTCTTAAGTGCAAGCACTGCCTGGGGAAGGAGAATGATAAGTAAGTAGAATTCCACAGCCAGTAGAGGTAACAGTAACACAATCGGCACCAGAACCAGCAGCAGTAGCACTGGCATTACAAGCGGTAGTTGCAGAAGCAAACATTGAAATCATAATCGGCAGTAGCAGCAGCGACAGCAGCAGTAACGGTAGCAGTAGCGAGAGATCTAGCACTAGCGGCAATGCAAAAACACTCACATACTGCTGATCCTAGTAAGTACAACGACGAATGCTGCAACTCCTACGAGCACGAATTTGTCGAATACCGGCGCACCCGTACCGAGAGTAGCAGCACAGGCATTGGCAGCGACTGTTTCAATAGCAATAGCTTTCGCATGGTCAGTAGCAGCAGAGGTACCATTTCCAGCGGCAGGAGCAGGAGCCAGCAAGGCAACAGCAAAAGCGGTAGGGGAAAAAACATCCCGGCAAAGCAACCTAACAGCGATGTGTAGATATCTGGAAGCATTCCCCTTGAGATCAGATGAGAATCCAGTTGTAGAATTCTGCTGTTCTCGCAGTCGTAGTCGCATTCGCGATGACAGTCGCAGTGGCAACGGCAGTCGCAGTCACAGCCTCAGCCTCAGCCTGCCTCAGCCTCAGCCTCAGCCTGCCTCAGCCTCAGCCTGCCTCAGCCTCAGCCTCAGCCTGCTTCAGCCTCAGCCTCAGTCTGCCTTCAGCCTCGGCCTCAGCCTCAGCCTGCCTCAGCCTCAGCCTGCATCAGCCTCAGCCTCAGCCTCAGCCTGCCTCAGCATCAGCCTGCCTCAGCCTCAGCCTCAGCCTGCCTCAGCCTCAGCCTCAGCCTGCTTCAGCCTCAGCCTCAGTCTGCCTTCAGCCTCGGCCTCAGTCTCAGCCTGCCTCAGCCTCAGCCTGCCTCAGCCTCAGCCTCAGCCTCAGCCTCAGCCTGCCTCAGCATCAGCCTGCCTCAGCCTCAGCCTCAGCTGAGCTGCCAGCCTCAGCCTCAGCCTCAGCCTGCTTCAGCCTCAGCCTCAGTCTGCCTCAGCCTCGGCCTCAGCCTCAGCCTGCCTCAGACTGAGCCTGCCTCAGCCCTGATCATGCCTGCATCAGCATCAGCCTGGCCTCAGAGCCTCAGCCTCAGCCTGCTTCAGCCTCAGCCTCAGCTGCCTTCAGCCTCGGCCCTCGAGCCTCAGCCTGCCTCAGCCTCAGGCCTGCATCAGCCGCAGCCTCAGCCTAGCCTGCCTCAGCATCAGCCTGCATCAGCTCAGCCCTCACTGCCTCTGCCTCTGCCTCGGCTTGCTTCATCCTCAGCTAAGTCTGCCTTCGGCCTCGTCCTCAGCCTCAGCCTCAGCCCAGCCTCAGCCTCAGCCTGCTTCAGCATCAACCTGCCTCAGCCTCAGCCTCAGCCTGCCTCAGCCTCAGCCTCAGCCTGCTTCAGCCTCAGCCTCAGTCTGCCTTCAGCCTCGGCCTCAGCCTCAGCCTGCCTCAGCCTCAGCCTGCATCAGCCTCAGCCTCAGCCTCAGCCTGCCTCAGCCTAAGCCTCAGCCTGCCTCTGCCTCAGCCTCAGCCTGCCTCAGACTGAGCCTGCCTCAGCCTCAGCCTGCCTCATCAGCCTCAGCCTCAGCCTCAGCACCTCAGCCTGCTCAGCCTCAGCCTCAGCCTGCTTCAGCCTCAGCCTCAGCCTCGGCCTCAGCCTCAGCCGGCCTCAGCCTCAGCCTGCCTCAGCCTCAGCCTCAGCCTCAGCGCCTCAGCATCAGGCTGCCTCAGCCTCAGCCTCAGCCTGCCTCAGCCTCAGCCTCAGCCTGCTTCAGCCTCAGCCTCAGTCTGCCTTCAGCCTCGGCCTCAGCCTCAGCCTGCCTCAGCCTCAGCCTGCCTCAGCCTCAGCATCAGCCTGCCTCAGCATTCAAAATGTGGCCGGGGAATGGAGTTCTGGGAACTCGAAGAACACGAAGCGGCCTACAGTTGGCTCCGGGCATTCAAAATCATGCCCAGGAATGGAGTTCTGGGAACTCGAAGACCACGAGGTGGCCTACAGTTGGCTCCAGGCATTCAAAATCATGCCCAGGAATGGAGTTCTGGGAGCTCGAAGACCACGAAGTGTGCAACTGTTTGCTGAAAACAACTTCCGCGGATCCCTGTCCGGATGCCGCCCAGACCCCACTGGGGAGTCATGATGCTCTCTTTTGACACTACTAGAAACCTATAAGTCTGCGCTGTTAGGTAATGGCAAAACAGCCCACAGTGGCAGTAGACATGTTATTTCCCAAATGGGCCCTCCCAGGGAGGTTGCCTAGAGAGCCCTCCTGCCCTGCACCGCCAGGAAATATCCACACCCACAACTCCTGCACTCTGGCCCCAGGTCCCTGGGGATCGGTGGACGTAGACGTTTCCACGTCGCACATGGCGAGCAAATGTCCACATCCGCCAGGCCCCCGAGATCCCAGGACACAACCGCGATCGGGGGCGCCCAGGAGCGGGGCGTCCAAGAGGGGGGTCGCAAAAAATAGCCGCAGGCATGTGCGCGGCCCAGGGGGGGGGGCCAGGGAACGTACAGAAATGAAGAAGGCGCCGTGAAATCTCGGGGGACATCTGTGTCCCACCCATGATATCCACACACCCCTGGTCATCTCCCCCCGCCCCCTTGGCCGCCCCCGACACGAGGCAGTGGGCGTGGAAACATCCTGGCCGGCGCTAGCCCGCCGTACCCCGCCCACCAGGGGATGCCTAGGTGGGCCCACGTCGGCCAGGTGCGCATCTGGGCGTCCCCAAGCGACAGGCGGTCGCGGAACCAGTTCCCGCTCACGGCGCTCCCCTCCGAGTACGC